TAACTGAACATTGCCACATCCCCCTCCTGGATAGTATTATGTCTTTTTTGGAATGGTTATCTGGGTTTATTGCTCTATTTACATTTTCTCTTCCTCTTGCATGTTCTAGGCATTAGTCTGTTTTTAGATACACAGCTTTCCAATACGACCTCTCATTCTCTGGACCATCTCTTCTTTGCCCTATTGACTGTTCTCTTTGCTTAAAAGAACTTTTAAAAAAAAGTGTGTGTGTGTGTGTGTGTGTGTGTGTGTGTGTGCACGCGCGCGCGCACAAGTGTAGAGACCAAAGGCTGATGTTGGATGTGTTCTCAATCATTCTGCCTCTTATTTTTTTAAACAGTCTCTCACCAAATCTGAAGATCACAGTCTGAGCTGGGCAAGCTGGTCGATAAACTCAAGACTTGTCTCTGCCTCCTCAGCACTGACATGCGCTATTGTACTTGGCCATGTCCATGGGAGCTAGGGACCCAAGTACAGTCCTCGTGCTTGCCTCTAGTCCATTCTAATCATGTGTGCTGTTGTCGTCATTGTTTGCTTCATTTGTTGAGAGAGGGTCTCATGGAGCAGGCGAGCCTCAAGCTCCGTATGCAACCTAGGAAGACTTTCAACTTCTGATCCCGTGCCTCTACCTCCCAAGTACTACAGTTACAGTCATGCACCTTGTGTTGGTTGTGACTTAATTTTTTGTTTTCTTTTTTCATCTTCTCTCTCTTTTTCCTTCCTTCCTTCCTTCCTTTCTTGATTTCTTTCTTTCATTCTTTCGTTTGCCAGCTTGAAACAAAATAGAATTTTCTGGGACGAGGTACCTCAGTTGAAAAAACTTTTCCATCAGATTGCCCACAAACAAGTCAGCAGGGCATTTTCTTGCTTAGTGATCTATAGGAGACCTCAGCCAACTTTGGGTAGTGACACTCCTGTACAGGAGGTCCTGGTTTGTATGAGAAAGCAGGCCAAGGCCAGGTGGTGGTGGTGCGCACCTATAATCTCAGCACTTGGGAGGCAGAGGCTGGTGAATCTCTGTGAGTTTGAGGCCAACCTGGTCTACAGAGTGAGTTCCAGGACACCTATGACTGTTACATAGAGAAACCCTGTCTTAGAAAAGAAAAGAAGAAAGAAAAGAAGGAAGGAAGGAAGGAAGGAAGGAAGGAAGGAAGGAAGGAAAAAAGGAAGGAAGGAAGGAAGGAAGGAAAGAAGGAAGGAAGGAAGGAGGTCAAGCAAGCCAAGTGAGTAAGCAGTGTGCCTCCGTGTTCCTTACTTGAGTTCCTGCCATGAATTCCCTTCACAATGAACTACAACTGTAAGCTGAAATAAACTGTTTCCTCTCCAAAATGGCTTTCTCTGGTCATGATCTTTATCACCAGCAACAGATGGCAAATTAATACCTACCCTCTTGTCTGGCTTACACAGTCGCAGGAATTGACGGCAGGACTTCAGGTCTGCTAGCAAGTACTCTACCAGCTGAGTTACATTCCCAGCCTTGTCCGGTTTTTGGAGAAAGGCATCTCTTTGTAGCCTCAGTATCCTGAGCGCTGGGATCATGGGTGCCCCGCCCCCGTGCGCTCATCTCCACCTGTTCTTGTGTTGCAAAAACTGATCGGAAGGAGACAGTTGGCAGCGGAGCAGAAAAGCAGAAGGAGAAACAACGTGGTTTGTATCTGCTTCCACCCCGCAGCTAAGGACTACCAGGACACATGAACTGCTAAAGACAGAAGAATTTAGTTGGTCATGGTAGCTCAGGCCCAGAATACCAACACTTGGGAGGTTGAGGAAGGAACGTCACAAGTTTTAGATCAACCTAGTAACAAAGTAAGTTCAGTTCTAACCTGGGCTACATAGAGAGACGCTGTCTCAGAAAAACAGAAACAGAACAGGACAGATGCCATGGCCAGGCATAATGACACTGTAGTAATAGCCTGCAGAAACAGCACTTGGGAAACTGACACAGGGGATCTTCAAACTGAGGGCCAGCCTTGGCTAAAGGAAAGAGAGATGGGCAGGGGGAACCTGCCAGCAAAGTCCAGGAAAAAAATATTTTAAAAAATTAAAAGATAAAGTAAAACAAAATAAAGTATTGCTGTTAGCTAGAGAGCTATTACAAGAAGGTTTATGAACATCTTCAAAATCTACCCAGTGTCGATAGTCTATCACCCCTAGAAAAGGGGGTGCCTAACACTCCCAGAAGAGGGGATGCCTGCCACTCAAGGGTATCTGAGTTCATAAAATCACTCAAGTCAGTGTGAGAAATCAATCACTCTGGCTGTTTGCCTTGTCGTGGAGGAAACAGTGAGTTAGTTGCCTGGTTACATTCACCACAGACGTGACTTCAGGTGAGAGCACTGAGTCTCTCACAGGAAACCCCACTTGGCGGCTCCCCTTTCTTCTCTGACTTCTTTCTCCCCTCACATCTTCTCACCTTGCCCTTCATACTGCGCTACGAGTCTGACGATACTAAAATTTTAAACTCTATAAAACTCAAGTACTGAGTACTGCATAGATGCTAGCTAGTTCTTAACCTACCACAGCATATCAGGGATGACTTTAATTGCCAGACCATGTGGTTATCTGGTCATGTAATCAGCCCATAAGTCTGGTCCCAGCAGAGCTTTTGTTCTGGGGCATGCAGATTCGGAGTTCCTTCTTTCTGTAGAAGGAGAGAGAGAGGGGGAGAGAGAGAGAGAGAGAGAGAGAGAGAGAGAGAGAGAGAGAGAGAGAGAGAACAGGCATCTGAGGTTGAGATGTCTCAAATGTACCCTAAAAGTTATTGAAGTAGAGACACAAAAGGAGGTGCAAAAATTCATTTCAAAACTGTAAACGACTTTCTGGTGAACCTGACACTTGAACGTATCTTTGAGTCAGATTATTCTGTTCTTGTTGAGAAGCCATTTAGATGGGTCCTTCAGTCATACAAATGAAAAATTAAGTCCAAATCTGGTGATGTCTCCCTTGAGAAGCTTTAGGGAGTCCATTGACTGCTACTGCTTCCTGAAACAGACTCCACTAAAACACCTCAGACATCTCAACCACGATGGCTGACCTTGTGATAATCCATGGTGAGAAAGTCCTGTGATGTGGGAGGTGATGTATGCTGTGAATATGTTTTATTGCCATTGGTTAATAAAGAAGCTCTTTTCGGCCAATGGCTTAACAGAGTAAAGCCAGACTGAAAGAGATATAGAGAAAGAGTAAGCAGAGTCAGCGAGAAGCCATGTAGCCACCACCTGAGAAAGGCGAGCTGGAAACTTGCTGGTAAGCCACAGCCACATGGCGATACACAGATTTATAGAAATGGGTTAACCAAAGATGTAAGAGCTAGCTAGCAATACACTTAAGTGATTGGCCAAGCAGTGATTTAAATAACATAGTTTCTGTGTGGTTATTTTGGATCTGGGCGGCTGGGAATGAACAAGCGGGCTCCCCCAACAGTCTGTGATTGGCAGCCTCCTATGCTCCCATCATCCTTGATGAGGTTACACTCAGTATCATTATTCACCCATCATCCTTGATGGTCCTTCTCCTGAATCAGAAGATTCACTCCCTAAAACACACCTCCCATCTCTTCACGCATGTCTTTCTCTACTGCCACCCAGGCCACTGTCCCTTCTTCGTCACTCTGGTTAGCCTCCTTTCCCTTAGCCTTCACCCGAGCATTGTCCTTCCTTGATTCCTAAACCAGAAGAATCTTATTTTTCTCCTCTTTAAGTAGACCACTTCATTGTTTTCAAACAATAAACATTATTTCCTCTTTAAAACTGTTTTAATTTTATAGTAAAACAGAGTTCCTGGGAGAGCGATGTGACTGAGGTCAGAGGACAACTTCCGTTGTGTTGGTCAAACTCAGGTCATCAAGAGTCAAACTCAGGTCATCAGCCTTGGCAGCAGGCACCTGAACCTACTGAGCCATTTCAACAGCCCCATGGTGAACACCTTAATAGTGGGTCATAAAATGTTTCAAGGACTTTTACAGCAGAGGCTTTTCTTTCTTCCTGCCTCAAATCTCTTTTTCCTTCCCCTGTTCCTAGTATCTCATATTTTCTTTGGCATGCTCCATCCCTATGACACAACTGTCAATCAAACGAGCCAAATCTCTTTACCAAAGAGAGTGTCTGTAACCCTGGCCAAGCCAGTTTGATTTTTCTGGGATTTAAATCTTGAGCAGGGTGATTCAAGATCAAAAGTGGTCTTTCTGGTGACAAAACTCTGAATAAATTGTCTATTAGTTTTGGCCACTAGGTCCTCAAATATAATTAAGCTATTCCACATACTAGGCCAGAAAAAATTCCTTTTATTTAAATATGCCTTAAATATTTCCTGTTGCTTACAAATGTTGAAGCCTACTAGATATTCCCATATCAGTAGGTGTTAGTATGCAATTAATTCACTATTAGACTTTCTTTTTTTTAAAGATTTCATGTTTCTCAGGCTAGCCTCAAACTCTTGATGCTAGAATTACAAGTGTGTATCATAAAAAAGTTTAGGCTTTTTTTTTCTTTTCTTTACTTTATTTTATTAGTTTATTTGAGACAGAATTTCTCTGTGTAGCCCTGGTTGTCCTAGAACTCACTTTGTAGACCAGCTTGGTCTTCCCAAGTGCTTGTATCAAAGGTATGTACCACTATCACTCACGTTAGACTTCTAAATATAGACATATATCTAGGGATATGGCTCAGTTAGTAAAGTGTTTGAGTCACATGAAGGGGACTTTATCTTAGTTAGGTTTTCAATTACTGTGAAGAGACAGTACAGACCATGCCAACTCTTATAAAGGAAATTATTTAATTGGTGTCTGGCTTACAGTTCAGAGGCTTAGTCCATTGTCATCATGTTGGGAAGTATGGAGGCATGCAGGCAGACATGGTGCTGGAAAGGTAGCTGAGAGTTCTATATCCAGATTCGAATGTAGCAGGAAGAGAGAATCATTCCAGGCTTGGTTTGAGCTTCTGAAACCTCAAAGTCCATCTCTGGTGACACACTTCCTTCAACAAGACCACACCTACTCCAACAAGGCCACAACTCCTAATAGTGTCACTCCCTATGAGCCTATGGGGGACCATTTTCATTCAAACCATCATAGACCTTGAGTTTGATTTCTATTACCAAATATACTGGGCAGGGTGGGGTGGTTTGAATGAGAATTTCTCCATGGTCTCATATATTTGAATACTTAGTTCCCATTTGGTGAGAGTGTTGGGAAGGATTTGGAGGTATATCCTTGTTAAAGATTGTGTTTCACTGGGGGAGGGCTTTGAGGTTGCAACAACTGCTGGCACTATTTCCGGTTAGTTCTCTTTGGCCCATAGCGGTGTCTCACCTACTGCTCTAGTACCATTCCTGCTTAATTCTGTCATGCTTCCCTAGAACCATGTGCCCCCAATCAAACCCTTTCTTTTATGAGTTGTATTGGTCATGGTATCTTAGTACAACAATAGGAACGTAACTAAGACACAAGGTGACCCACGTCTATTAGAATCCCAACACTCAGGAAGTGGAATAAGAGGATCAGAAGTTCAAAGCCATCCTAGACTGACAGCAAATTTGAGGCCAGGCTACTACGACATGAGACTGTGCCTAGACAAATAAAGTATTGAAAACAACAAAGCAATTACTTTTGTTTCTTCCTTAAGACAGATTCTTAAGTTTGCTAATTGGAGTAAAAATATTTAAGTTACATGAACAGGGTCCTGACAGGCACCTTACCTGGCCTTGAACCTCGGACTCTCCTACTTTAGTCACATAAATACTGGCACCCCAAAAGCTCTGTTTGCGTGCATATGTCACAATAACAACTTTTTTTAATATGCTGAGAAAAAGATGTCTTCAAAAAGGTCATTATTTTAAGAAGAAATTATATGTAGGCTAAGATTTTTCACTTTGAAAAACTACAAATGCACAAATAATCATACAGCGAAAGTAAATACCACCTCCACAATGAGACACGAAGGGCAAAAACCTTATCAGCTGTGTAAGAAAGGAGCCGCTGCCACCATCTCTTTTCATAGAGGAAAGGTCCTCTATGAACACCTACATGCAGATGGATATGCACATCTATTCAGATCTAAGCAAATTCAATCTCTACTTATTCTATGGCTGGGCACCAGGTCCTGGAAGGGGAAGAGTTAAAGTGTGAATAGAAACCCATCCGTTCTGACAATTGTCCAGTTTTCTGACGAGCTCCTAATTAATCAAGAAGAGGCAAGCCAGATATAGTCAAAGTAATCAATGTAAATTTTCTGACTGGCCTCTCTGTTGGTGTTTCTTTCCAGCCATCAGACTACTTAGATACAACCAGGAAAGTTTGACATTTTCGACGATAGTTCTGATGGTGAAAATATACCCAAATACTTGCAGAGAACACTAGAAGTTTGACGACCTGTGTTTAGACAGTTAGTCCTTTGTAGTTTTGAAACTGTTTGGTGCACCCTACCAGCCAGGTTCCGAGAAAGAAATAAAAGGGGGAGCGGAGGTGTCAATGATGGGACTGATAAAAGGCTGCTCACATGGGCGGTGGGGGGGGGTTAAAGAGCAAACAAAGGGTGCTGAGGCTCCCAAGAGGTAGGGGTAGAAATGGTGCTCCCCAGAGCCCATATAAAGCTAGTGTCAAGGGACAGGGGCCAGGCCAGCCAGCTGCTGCCCAGGATTTGATGCAGAAGTGGGAAGGGAAGACAGCAGGCCTAAACTCCTTTTCCTGCCCTGTCATGTGCTGCTAAGTCAACTAGCAGTCAAATGGCTAAGGAGTTCTGATTATGCAGCAATTAAGAGGTAGATCTGTGGGGCACTGTGTGTGTGTGTGTGTGTGTGTGTGTGTGTGTGTGTGTGTGTGTTATGAATACCAAGATCTAGAGTGATTACATTCCTGATTCAATTTACAGAGCTCATGACCTGGGACCTGGGATTTAAGTACAAGTGTCCAGGTCCTTCCAAGCCATGTTTTTTCCACTACCACCATACTGTGCTTTTAGATAAGGGCTTAACTGCTCAAGGTTGAATACTGCACTGTGTTGCTTCAGTAAACATGATTTAGTTTCACACACTGGGGATTCCAGTGAGGATCGCAGAAGAAGTTTGCTTCGTGTCTACTATGGGACTCAGCCCTTAGACATAATTGTCACATAAACCAGGTGAGCTCAGAGGTGATAACTGTCCTACCCTCTTACCGTCACTCCAGTGGGGACTCTGGTGCAGCCAAGGGCTTGACAGGAGTCAGCAAGCTTGAATGTTTTCCGCTGCCATTTTGCTGGTGGGAGCTCAAGCCAAAAACTTAAAATAAAATAAATATGTATTTTCTTGAACTTTTGCAAGAAAGCTGGTACAAGGTGTGAGGCGTGAGTTCTACCATTTTGGTTTTCCTGGTTTTTCCTCTTGTCCTTTTGCTATGCTCATGGTTGGCATTTCAGGGGTAGTATCCCCAATGCCACTCTTGTTTCTTTTTCTTTCTTTCTTTCTTTTTTTTAAATAAAGCCCAGGGTGCCCTTGAAGAATATGCCTTTCATGATGAGATAATTGGTTTAGAATCTCGAAGCCTTTATTTATAATCACATGGAGCTGATTTTCAAGGAATATGGCTTTGATGCTTAATGGTTGGCTTGGTGCCAAGCGTCATTGTTGGGGATTCTGGCTGTTTGATGTTCAGATGCAATCTGCCGCGTACTGACTAGGCCTATTAATAGGAGTTCAAACACAACTTCACAAGCATCCCTGGGAGGTCCTGGGAGGACAGTCCCGAGTAATCATTCAGACAGAGTCAGGAGGTGTCATTGGACAGGACAGGGTGCCCTTGACACCGTGTTAGGAGCTTACAAAGGCATCTAAAACATGCCAGCAGTGCCCCTTTGCACCCGGCCTCACTTGAGCTAGCTCGCTATTTTGGGAACATGATATGTCCCAATTAGGTGTCTGCGTATCTCACAGGATAGGGCTCTTTAGAGGCAGGGATTATGTCATTAATTCAAAAAGCATTCATTGAGTGCTCCTTGCCACTGCCAGACATTGCACAAGCAGCCAGAACCCTTATTCATTCTTGTATCCAGCGCTTTGTAAAAAATATTACTCACCGAAGAAGTGAAACACAAGCGCTGTATTGGCTTGGGTAATGACGAGTTTGCAAACGCGAAGTTTTCTCGAGGTTTTCAGCAGCACCCAAATCTGCTGTATCAGAAACAATGACGGTTTACATGGAGCAACTACAGTATCTGTTTAAATGTATTTCTATTTATTTTGTGGTTAAAGGCTAGAGCATTCCAGTCCATCAAATATTCTGGTTGTTTGAGGGTTAAACCTACATTTGGTACTATCAATTAAAAAGAAAACCTCACTACCCAAACAAAACATAAATCATTCCTTGATGATCAAAAGACAATGTGAGTCTCTCCCAACTGTCATTAGGGAAACATTTGTCATTGGCTGGGCTCTAGCTGTACATGGGGTTAAGAGTCTGGATTAATAAATGCTTGCTCTGTTACTGTGACTTATTTTTTATGCACGGTTAATGATACATAATTATGAGAACCCCCAGGCTACAGTCAATCATTTACAAAATAACTTGAAGGAAAGGAAAGTGATACCAATGAAGGCTACAAAAAATATTATTAGTCTAAAAGAGGATAGATGGATAGATATAGATATAGATAGATAGAAAGATAAATAGATAGATAGATAGATAGATAGATAGATAGATAGATAAATGGATAGACAGACAGACAGATAGAAACTTTCAGAAGAGACGCGACTGGAAGCCCAGGCTCAGAACAAAAACAGCAAGCACCAAGGGAGGCCAGGCGGCAGGAAACTTAGACAAGATGCTGTATGATAATAATAAGGCCCAGACCTTCTGTGTCACCTTACCAAAACCAGCAAAAAGGTGTTAGAGACAGAGAGGTGCAGCTCACACAGTCTGAGCTGAGATGTCAGAAGGATCGTCTACCTTTCCAGGGCAGGGGAAGATGCACAGTTCAGCCCCCCCCCCCCCGAAACATCTGTAGCCAGAATCTGAAGCCTTCCTTCAGGAGACTCGGGAAAAGGCGCTGGCTGTGCCATAAGCAGTGATCGTAAAGAAAATCCAAAGTACATTGCTTGTCACAACAGATGGCAAAATAACTAAAACACATATGTGATTTTTTTTAATTCAATTATGGGGGCCAGGGAGAGGCTCAGTTGGCAAAATGCTTGTTGTGCAAATATAAAGGCCTGCATTTTAGCCACAGCATCCACGTAAACAAGCTAAGTACAGTGATACGTGCTTGTGTTCCCGGTGACGGAAAGGTGGCGATGGGGATTCTCTGGGACTCAATGGCCAGCTACCCTGGCTTAATCAGCAAAGCTCCAGGTAACTGGAAAGATGGTCCCCAAAAAAACCAAGTGGGTGAAAACACCTGAGGTTGACCTCAAGTCTCCACACATATACATACATGTGCATGTGTACACACATCCACCCAAATACATATACATTCACACACACATAATAAATACATACGTGTAAAATAAAATAAACTTCAGTAAGCGCATGGTAGACTGAGTGATGCCACCTGCTCCCTGCCAAAACATGCTACGCTCACTTCACATGTGACTAAGAAAAGGGGAGCAGACAGCAGCAAGGGGTTCTTTGCTTTTGCTAAGCGGTACTGACTCCTCATGTAGGTCCACAAGCTAACTAAGAGCAGGATGAAGGACGGCCATCCGTGCCTTCAGTCTGTGGCTGGCTGTTTCCTTCGTTAGATTTACGGAATTATTTCAAAATATATGACAGCTGAGCATAGTGACATTTGCTTTTAACCCCAGGACTTGGGAAAGAGAGGCAGTTGGAGTTCTGTAAGTTTCAGGTTAGCCTAGTCTGTGTATATCTCAAAAACAGACTGTGAAGTGGGGGAGTTGAGGGGCTGGTGTTAAAAACATCAGTCAAGCACAAGACCACTGCCACGATTTTTAAGTCAAGAATTGAAGCAAGCTTTATTTAAATATTAATTTAATTAAATGATGATGGCCAGGATGATGGACTCTGGCCAAGACCATTCCTAGCTTCTCAGAAAATAACCAGTCACACCCCTAAGGCCACCAAATCCAATCAAGAGCAAGCATATATCCTGACATAGGCCTTCAACAAGGCCACACCTACTCCACCAAAATTACACCTCCTAATCATACCATTCCCTATGGGGGCCATTTTGTTTCAAACCACCACACTGGTATATGCCATCATGTTTGGTTCAGATGTTTTGGGGGTAAAAGTATAGGCTCTGGCAACCCTAACAAACGATGCTTGGTCATGCATTCTTGATACCAGTTAAAGAGACAAACAATGTTGAGAGAGATAGAGAGAGAGAGAGAGAGAGAGAGAGAGAGAGAGAGAGAGAGAGAGAGAGAGATTTTATTCAATGGAAAGAAGAAGAAATGATGAGGTCCAGTGCCTCTCAAGTCTTTTGGGGAAACTAACATGAGCTGCAGACTTAAACAGAGAAAGACTGGGCCAAGAAGCAGAAAACCTGCGTAGTTAAGTAGTCCTGATTTAGGATGTGGTCTCCGCCATTATTGTCTCGGTTCTGGTCCAGGAATGCAAACCAAAAAAGTCCCTATTGCTTGAGGGGACAAGGTAGTTCTCAGGAAAGAGCACTTCCACTCCAGAGCTCAGTCACACCTACAGCAGTAATTGCCCCTGGGGAGTTGTCCTGTCCGGGTTTGTTCCAGGAATCCACACTCATTTGTAAGGTTAAGGACAAGCTGTGCTTCTCTGCCTTCAGCCAAAGTCAAGGAGACAGATAGCCACAGACTGAAACGCGGATGGCAATCCTTTTTCCTGCTTTCAGCTAGCTGCAGGCCTCCATGAGGAGTCTGTACTGTTTAGCGAAAGGACAAAGCCTCCTGCTATGGCCTGCTCCCTTATCTTAATCGTGTGTAGCATCTTTCGGCAGGGAGTAAGTGGCATCATTCAGTCTACCAAGTTCTTATTGAATTTTATTTTATTTTACATGCATGTGTTTGTTATATGTGGGTGTACAAACATATATGTATTTGGGTAGATGTGTGTACACCTTTAATGAGAAGGTGCAAACATCCTTCGCAGAGACTGCCCCTCATGAAGTCATACACACATCTGCAGCCATGTGTCTCCGTGAGAGCATCTCCCTTTCTTCTTTCTATGCCTTTCCTAAAGACGCTTGTGAACATGCCCTCTTGACTCAAAGAGAATGACTGCGTCCCTTTCTCTTTTCCATCCCCCTTCTCTGGGCAACTCCTGAGATCTGCATCTTCCCTGCCCTGGGGATGTTCCTTTAAATTCTAATAAAAAAAATTTTCCTCGAGCTTTCTTCTGAGTCCATTCTTAAGTTTATTTTTTATTAATGAGACTAAGAACCCTAAGGGGGACCCTAATTAACCCTGGAGTGTGTGGTACCCCAGATGGGATTCCCCAAACTTTCCAGTCACACCAACAAGGAAACGGATCATGAAAAGACATAGACATATTTGTTTTATCATATGTTTTTAAATACATTCATATAGTGCAAAGGAAGTTCTTATTTAGTAAGCTAGCTTGAAATGCTTCTAGGACAGATGCCTTTCATTTCTCTCTCTTCACAATCCTCATTTCCACACAGTTGCAGTCTGTTTAAGATGGGTTTCTTCCTCGTTCCTAGAACCCTCACCGAAGAGCCTGCGTTACTGACGTTTTCGATCTGATTGATGTCAAAACCAGATGGGTCACTGAATGTAAAACATCTCCCAAACCAATGAGATGACTCAGAGGATTCTTGCTGGGCAAGCCTGACTCTGACATAAATTTGGGCCCCAGCACTCAGGTAAAGATGGAAGGAGAGAGCTCCACAAAGTTGTCCTTTTGACCTTCGCATGTGTGCAATGTCATGCACGTGCCTGCTTGTGCAGAGACACACACACACACATACACACACACAATTCAGCACATATACATCAATAGCAATAAATAAAAATAAACTTTAAAAAATCCTATCTCTGCGTAACTATTTACTTCCCTCATCTATCCACATGTCATAGTTAGACAGGGACTTTTCAGAAAGTATTTTTGCTTCCACTTTAGTTTTTGAGATACAATCTCTTCTAGTCCAGGGTAGCCTTGGACTAGAGCTACTAGCCCAGGGTAGCTCTGTAGCTAACGATGACCTTGAACTTTGTGATCCTTCTGCCTCCACCTCCAGAATGCTGCCCAGTTTTGTGTGGTACTGGTGATCAAACTCAGTACTTCATTCATGCTAGGCAAGTACTCTACCAACTGAGTTACATTCCCAGGCCCTCAAATTTTTTTATACCTATGGCAGCTAAGCTAAGAATAAACTCTTTGGCTGGAGTATCAGAGAGTGGGAGACCATACAGTCATTGTGCATGAGGCCCTGGTTCAATCCCAGGGCCAAAACATTAAAATAAAATATGATAAAGAAGGAAAGAAAAAAAGAAAGAAAGGAAGAAGGAGGAAGAAAAAGGTACAACCCTTTAATACTTAAAATAATCTCATTGCAATTAAATAGAGATGGGTTAGTTCTTTAATTCTAAAATTAAACCTGAAAAAAAATGTGATATTCTGTACAACAAAGACACAGATGAGAAAGGCATTTAGCAATCTATGGATCACATGGAGGAGAAGTGTTTAGTTCTTTGAAAGAAGAAGAACAAGTTGGTAGGAAATGGCCCTTAGTTTATAATAATGAAGCTGGTTTTCTGGGAAGCCCAGACTCAGTTTTCTGTTTTTCATTTCCGTCATGGAAATTAAGATGGATAGGTTTTTATGCTGTCATTTTATTGACTGTAACTTTTCCATATTTTTAAAAAATGCAAAAATGAAAACAACAAAAACCTTACCTAATTTGAAGCATCTCTCTTCCTCCCTCCCTCCTTTCTTCCTCTTGTTCATGCCTTCCCTCCATCCTTACTATCTTCCAATCCCTCCTCCTTCTAGGACCCTTTATCTCTTCCTTTTTCTACTCCTACAGGGTCTTGTTATATAGCTCAGACTTTCCCAAAATTATGTAGCCCAGGGTGGCTTTGAACTTGTGAACCTGCAATTTTTCTGCCTCATCCAGCCTCCTGAGTACTGGAATTGCAGGCATCCTTCACTCTACTCTATCCCCAGCACCTGCTTAAGTTGCATTTGATCCAGTAAATCCCATGAAACGTACAGACTTACA